CAGAGTCAGTCGGCAGGAATGGTTATGTGACTTTGTGAATGCTTCCTCAATGTGTTGCTGCCATGGAGAAAATAATGTCTCCTGTAGAACAGCCAAGAATTACAGCTGTCATGGATGATGAGCTCAAAAAGAGAGAAATTGATTGTATCGCTTTAAGAGCCTGACAGTGTGAGTGTGTGACAGATAGGCACAGGACACACAAATGTGAGTTTTACATGATGAGGACTCGCTTCACTTTGGGTTAATGTTATCTCTTGAAAACTTTCCAACAACTCAACAGGATAAGTGCAACATGTTTCATCTCCTAAAAAGTGTTTTCCTCAAACTCTCTTAGAAAGAAGGTAGCTTTACCAACATGCTCGTGTCCTTGCAAAATAATAATGATGACAAAATGTGTTGGTTACTTTTCGGTTGTTACAGGCTAGAAATGTTGTTATTTCACCTTTCATATATAGATAGGCCTATTTTTCTGCTGGTTCTTCAAAATCCCTGCAAGATTAAACAAAGTTAGGACATTTACACTGTAAATGTCCAAAAGGCTTTTGATCAATGCCATCATCAGACACTTTGTTAGGTCCACCTGTTTAACTGCTCATAAACGCAAGCATCTAATCAGCCAATCACATGACATGACATGTTTAAGCATGTTGATATTGTCAAGACAACCTGCTGAAGTTGAAATCAAGCATCATAATGACGAAGTGACTTTGACTTTAGGTGACTTTGAATGTGTCATGGTTTTTAGTGGCAGACAGACTGGTCTGAGTATTTCACATCTACTGGGATGGCTAATAACAGGCTGATAGGAAGGCAACAGTAACTCGCATAACCATTAAGACCACCACACTGGATGTGGTCTTCTGCTGCAGAAGCTGTTGTGCTGCGTCTGCACTTTAGGGATGTGATAGAACAGGAAATTTTTATAAAGGATGTTCAACCAACAAATCTAAAGCAACTTTGTGATGCTGTCGCGTCTATATGGACCAAAACTTATGAGGAATGTTTCCAGCACCTTATTGAATCCATGCTATAAGAAATTGAGGTGCACAGGAAAGGGAACTCCAACCCATTACTACCAAGGTGTATGTAATAATGTTTCCCTAAGTGTATTTTATGTTCAAAATCCCTTGGCCAAAGATAATTAGAAGTCAGCTTACAAAACACTGTGGAAACACAAATATATTGGGTATGTATTTAGTGTATGAAAAGATGACATGTTTGAAATATTTTGTAATGAAAAGAATCCCAGAGGTACTGTACTGAACGTTGCTGTGTAACTAACATTTTATCATGGGAAATATATCCAGCCGGTGCCATGCAGCTCTTTACACAAACGTCCTTTTAGTGCAAAGTAAATGTTCATATCAGACATGAGGAGCAAATAAAAACTGTGTGAAAACTACACTGCATACAGTTACTCTACCGTCAACTTAAATGCAATTATTGTCTGAGGTTAAGATTCAAGACAGAAAACACTGTGAAATCTGTACAGCAGCATAGATTTTTTTTTAAATTATTATTTCTTTCATGCACATTTATGCATGCGTGTGTGCTCCAGATTATCATTAATTATCATTTTTTGCTTGTTTCAGATATTTTTCTGTGAGTAATACTTCAAATAAAACGTTCGCTTTTTCTTTCTTTAGTGTTCTCCTAAACACTGTATGTTCAGTGAGTTCTTATTTCCTGTTGCAGTGTCACAGAGCAGCAACAAAACGCTCAAGTTTTTGTCCGTTATCGGTCCACTGTGTGCCGTGGACAAAGATAATACACAAGTTTATCACTCTCAGCTCTTACTACACACAGTTTGTTTAAATCACAGCATCTCTGACACGAATGGTAAATATAAACCTCGGTGTTACTGCTGATCAGATTGGCTGTTTGTCAGTGTAACGGGCCCGGGGTTGATGTGACATTTATTCACTTATCATTTGAAATATGGGTTTGCATTCGATTTGTCCATAAACTGTGTCATTCTGGGCCTCCCGCTTTATCAGTGCAGCATGGGTCTAAATGCAAACACAGTCTTTGTGCAGTGTAGCTCCTCTCGTATGAGGTGCACTCTCCACACTCCTTTTCTGTGTTTTTATTAAACATTGGAAATTTCTTTCTGGTTAAGGAGTTGGTAAGTTTGCAAAAATGCAGCGATGTCAAGAATAGCTAATTCATGAGACATCACAGCAGTGCGTTCGGTTTTATTAGAGGACAATGTTCCACAAAAATTCTAAGGCTAAAGAGTTTTGCAGTATAAAATAAGACTTGAATAGATATGCTGGCATATTTCAAAAGTGAGAAGTTTGAATGTGAACACACTTCCAAAAGTGTTACTGAAAAGCACAGTTTTCTGCAGAGTGCAATGTGTTCTAGGTTGGACCATACAAATATTGTCTGATCCCTTGAGAAAAGTTCCTTCATGCTTTATACTGCCTTTCTATATGGATTTATTTCAAGTCTCATCTTTGTATGCATTTCTATGGCAGTATGTTTCAAAAGGCTCTGTGATGGAGACTTAACAAACATCACCCTTCTCCACCGGCAAGGAAAAGTTTGCAAGGTTGCCTGGAAGAGGTCAGAAAAATATCGAACAGCCTCCCGCTCGCTCAGAAGTCTGAGAATGTCAGGTCAAAGCCGTGTGTAAATTCCACTTCATCACTTGGCGTATAATGGAATTCAAGTTACAGATTAATTGAGTGAGGGAACAGACGCTTTCAGATAATTTTCCCACCCACCAACAAACAGAGCATGTGTAGTATACGTCTGTCCAACTGGCTCTTTACATTCTGGAAAGCAAATGGTCTTTTAATCTATAAATGCTTTCATCCAGAGAGCTGAGGACTTCAGCCTTACTGTAGAAGTGTATTTGCATACAAACAAGCACTTAAAAACAAGCCCTCTGTAAATAACTTACTGAAATCTGAGAAATACATGTGGCTGCACATCTTATTGTTCTAGCTGACAGGAATATCATAAGCTAACCGGTCAATTATTCATCATTTTATCTGGTACTCATTAGATTAAAAATGTATGTCTTCTTTAATTATTTATCCAGCGTGTGTGCTGCAACGGTAAGGATTCGATTGGCTGGAGATATGGCGTTATGCATTTGTGATTAACATATTCAAATTTATCTGCAAACATTACTACAATTTAGTAATCAGGGTGATTGCCTGTGGCAAATTAGAATAACCTTTTGTCACCCCACACATCAAGTTTGTGATTAGGCCAATTAAAACTCGAGTGTTGCTGCTCTATCTACACTTTACTTTTTTGGAGACAGAAATATCTGCAGCCTGTTTTTGCACAAGTCATTTAACCATTCAAGCTTAATGATGTATCTTCCCTCCATTTACATGGAGTTTGGTAGGTTAAGTCTTTTTTCCTTTACTGCTTTTGAGGATCAAAATTGATCGATAATGAAGGTAAACTTAGGTCGGGCAGAATTTCGCGCGCAACTGATCCTTCTGTTAATTGTAAGCCGCGTTCAGTGATGGAGAATCGCTGCTTACCAACAGACGGCAGCTAATTGTTTTGTGGTCTGTGTTTTATGAGAAAAGAGAAAGTTAAATATTAAATGTATTCTCGGCTAAGCCGCAAAACCCATGTTTGGAAAAAAGGTTAAAATATATTTTGGCAGTAAATGAAGCAATTGTAATATTATTATATTTAATAGTATATTTGCTATGTGGTAAATCATACATTCTTTCAAAGAAAAATATGTTTAATATATGCATCAAATAGCTGTAGGCCAATATTTATCATTTGTGCAGATATGATTGACATGTAGAAGTACATTTAATAATGAATATTTCAATAATTATTTAAAAAAAATTTTTTTTATAAGTCCAGCTCAAAAAAATAGTAGTTAACAGTTCTACAAGTATATGCATAGCCACCTGTGGTGTGGCCCCTGGCTCCGCCCCTATTGCTCAACTGTCCAATTATCCTTTTTCTGTCCTCACTTTTCCTGTGCAGAGGTCTGGATTGTTGAATCGGTGTCTTTCCCTGCGAAAACATCACGACAAACATGTCCACATATAGTCTCACTTACGTGTAATTTAGTCTCAGATTTTCTGTGGGAGAAATCTGGCGCTTCTGGAGGAAAACCCACACAATTTGTCTGCCACCAACATTTAAACACTGACACTAAGTGACGATGCAAGGGACAAATTAGCAGGATTCAAAGCATTGAATCAAAACAGCTGCAGCAGGAGGTGCAGTAGCATTTAATATTTCATTCTTCCTCTTGCAGGTTGTCAAAGCCTATAAAAAATAACACCGCCTGTTCTGTTCACTACATGACATTTTTCCATCTTTCAGTATTGCTTTAAAACCATTTTTCACAGTTGTCAGTGACACTGGACAGCTGTGCATCACGATACCTTAAACTAGCTTGGAATCAAGCAGCCTGCTAATAACCATCAGTTCAAGCATGATCCCTTTGTGTTTCCATATAGTCATATCAAACAGTTCTCAACTTTGATGACAGAACGTAAATATTTCATTTCTAGAAGCCATTTTCTCAAGGAGCAAAATATATTCTGCAGCACTGCTCAAAACACATTATTAATTTATAGATTTGAAACCCCACCAATGCTTCCTCTGTCTGATTTTATACCTTTCAGAGTTGTGCACATCTTCGAGCATCCTATAAAGTCCCTGTCTGGATATCACTTTGCATGCTAGGTCACCCTCTGCTTCTTGCCAAGAGAGAAAGTACACAATTTAATGGTGGAAATTAGACAGAAAAATCTGGTTTTAGGTTTTTTGACATGCCAAAAAATTCTGTTTTGTTTTGTTTTTGGTTAGCGTACATGTGATGTTGTATGCTAATGATGCTGGCTTCCTGCAGCTACTTCTATGATTCACACATCCAAACCTTTGGGATTTATATTTTTCTCCACCACTGTCACTAAGTGTATAGCCGACATCTCATGGATTGCATGCTCTTTTGAAATGATGCATTTCAGTGTGCGTAGTTTCAGCTTCACTCCACTTCTTATATGTTGTACGTGCTTGTCTGTACATTTAGTGATGCTGAGGACTGGTTCTGCGAGTGCCCCCCATTATACACCGGACGGCTGTGCCAGCTCACCTCCTGTGAGCGCAACCCCTGCAGTCACGGAGCCACATGCATCCCGAAGTCACCATTAGAGGCCGTTTGTCTGTGTCCCTATGGAAGACAGGGTCTGCTGTGTGACCAAAGTAAGTGATTCACAGAGCAGCTACACACGGAACAATGCAGGGCAGATGTAGCAGCTTCATTAAGAGAGTGATCTGCAGACATGTAGTGAATTAGAGCCTTGAGCATTTGGTAGAATCAGCGTCTGTTGTTAAATAAAACGATTAATGAAATCAAATTTTGCTGAAAAAGCAAAAAAATCTTCCTCCATCCATGGAGTCAGATAATCAGGACAAAAGTTGTGGCTACTTGTTTGAATATTTTAGCCTATTTCAAGTTTATAAGATCTTATTTCCCAACAGCTGTCGTTTCAGCACTGTCTCACATATATATTTTTTTCTTATGTCAGGCTGCTCCTCTGCATTAGTAGTGTTTTAAATGTAAGGGTTATTAGCAGTTTACTACAATAACTTTTGTGTTTGGTACTATTTGCAAATGTTGCTGACACTTAATTGAGAACTATCATGCAAATTTCTAACTTCCTATTTTTATTCTCAGACTATACTAGAGTAGCTTTGTATGATTCAGCGATCAAAACAATCCTTATAGCGACACAAATATATACAAATGTTTACTTAAATCTTTTAACAAGAGGTGCTGAAGGTTCTGCAGTGTCTTTTAAATTGACAAGGCAGGTTTATTAACTTCTCGTTAGTGATCATGATTGACTACAGGTCAGATTTGTTTGAGAGCACTCACTCAAATACTCAAAATAATGTGAAAATTCAAGAACTTACTGAAGATCTAAGGAGAATTGTAGATTTACAAAAGCTGGGAAGGTCTCTTGGAGCCATTTCTGGAATGCAAATTCAAATATCATCACTTCAAACAATTGTACAAGTTATTCAGATGTGTTGATGCTTTGCCAATGTTTGGAAGAAGAGCCAGATTGTCACCTTAAAATGAGAGAAATTTGATTAGGATGTTCAGGAACAACTCAGGAATCAACTGGAAACTCCTGGAACACCAGTGTCACTGTCCACAGTGAACTAAGTTTTACATCACCATTGACTCAAAGCAAGAAAGAAGCTGCTGCTCCAAAATCGAAAAGCCACATGCTTTCTGGAGACAGGTTTTATGATCTGATGAGACAAAGATTGTTTGGAGAAGTAAAGGTGATGCATTCAAACCTAAGAATACTGTACCGGCTGTCAAGCATGGTTGTGGTAGCATCATGCGCCGGGGCTATTTTGCTGCCTATGGTTCTGGGACATTGCACAAATTCTTCAACTTCACCTCAGATCAACAAATAGACAGTTGACAAAGTTGGATGTTCCAACAGAACAATGATCACAAACACACATCAAAACTGTTTTTTTGAATAGATAAATCAGGCTAACATTAACCTCACACAAGTGAAAATTTCTGGACAACCCTTAAAAAGCCAGGTCTGTGCCAGGAAACCAAACTATTTAAATGAACTCCACCAATTCTGCCAAGAAGAGTGGTTAAATATCCAGGCAGTCTTGTGCCAGAAGCTATCAAATGTTTCTGGTCAAGATGCAGCTTGCTGAGGAACATTGAACCACATATTAGTGGTGTTGTATGTATATATTTAAGTTTAATCTTGTATGTTTTAGAGAAAATCCTACATAAATTCAAACTTGTGCACCCAATTCTTTCTTTTTTACATTCATTAAAGATGTAAACTCTACCCACAATCCTAAATTGATTGGTGGCGGTCGCTGTTATGTTGGAGGTGTTTAAATCCACAAAGGTTACTTAGTGTAGGTCACGTAGCATTGTGCCATATCAATAACTAAGTTATTCTTTACTACAGATGTGCAACACAAACTACAAATTATATTCAGTTATCACTGGCTACCAAGTTGTGATTCACGAGTCTTTAGCCAATGAGCATGCAGTGACATACCACTAAATCCTTAATTTTGAAATATAGCATGATGGATTTACAAATAATACTTAACATATCCCAAAATGAATGACTAAACCTATAAACTGAGTAAACTGCATCCTTGTCTTTCACTGTCCATGACAGCTAACGTGGTTTAAAAATGTTTTTGATTTCAGTCAAATGTTTTAGAAAAATGAGATACCTAGAAAAGATTAAATAGATTTTTTTTTTATTTCATACAATTATCTTTCTATTCTATGATGGTTTCTGTATTATTTTATGTGACTGTTTTCCAAAAAGTAATGCCATAAAGAAGAGGGCTTCACAGGTCATGGTTCTCAGAAACAAAAGGTTTTGCTTGACTAAACTGGCTGTGGTGGCAGCAGGGTGCTTGGCATATAAGTCGCTCAGCCATGCCACAGCCCCTGTCAGAATCTCAGCACCCACATGCCAAACACAGAAATTTAACCTTCCAGTTTCACACTAAGTATATGGCTGACATTTGAATTTTAATCCTGATAACATCAGACAAGATCAGAGACAAACTGATCACTCCTAAGGTCTCCTGCCTTCCAGGACTACTTGCTACTTTGGAGCTTGTTTCCTAACGTGGTGCCCTTAGCAAAATACCAGCCGTGATAGCACGGCAGCAGGGCCGTCTTTTATTTATTTTTGTCCTTCTATTGTGTCTATTAGGACAGATGAAACAGTAACAATATGGTTTGTATTTGTTTTCTTAATGTCATATTTTCAGTTCTTTGGTTCAGTTCCCATCAGGTGGTCTGAACAACCAGAAAATGGAGGAAAGGCAAGACCAGGAAGCAAAGCTGAAATGCCTCCAGAATCAAGTTCATGAAACATTCATGCATATTGAAGATGCCTTCACTCAGAAATATTAATGTTGTACCTTTGTACACAAGTTGGAATACCTCCTGTTAAAGATTCATGATTGGAATTGATAGAAATAAAACATGGAAAATGATGTACCGCATTTTCAGTATATGATACTGTCAGTATAGCACATGTTCTTACAGATACAGATTTATATATTTTACTCCACACTTAGCTATAGTGTGTGTCTTACACTAGTCTTGTCTGGTAATTATACAGCTAAATGCTGTTTCATCTTTATAATTTTATGTGTCAAATTGGTGAAATGACATATTTTGTTATGTTTGAACTGTGCCAAAAAAGGGGGGAAAAATGATTTCATGACATTTTAGTGTTACTTGCGTCTTCTTGACTCTTTCTGGAAGTTCACTTCTAGTTCACGGACACTTCCTGGGGTTTTTTTTGCACACGCAGCTCTGACTACAGATGTTCAGGGCATGTGCAGGTCATGGACCTTTCAGATTTAGTCCATGTTTCTTATTTCAGTTTGGATTATCAGCCTTTTGGGGGATCATTATCCTGTTGTCAGGTTTTTGGGGGTTTTTTTAAGTTGTTGTTTTTTTCTCTTTTTTTTGCTTTCATGCAATACTTGAAATGATTTTTTTCTATCCATTTAAAATTTGGGTGCCACACAACCCTAAAGCAGTGCATTTCCAGTGCGACGTCTTATCAAATTGGGTTCAGTTTTTTTCAACCATACAATACTATTGGTATTATATGGTTTTAGGAGCCAGGTTTTAACTTTAGCTTTTGACAGTTTCCAGCAAACCTTAGTTGAATACTTTTTGGGATGGTGACACAGGTAAGGTTGTTCCATGCATACCCTGTTTATCAACACACTGCACGCCATCAGCTAACCCATCCCATGGATCTGCTTTGTCTTTCAGCATAGCAAATTGCACAGCTTTATCAGAAAGTTTTCTTGCTCTTCCAGATCTTGTCTTGACTTCCACATCTTCCATCCTCTGCCACTTCTTAATGACATTTCATAGAGTAGAAATTGCAAGCTTGAAGCGCCGTGATATCTTTTTATAGCCTTTCCCTCCTTTGTAGGCATCAATTAGCTTCATTTTCAGATCTCAGTACTTGCTTAGAGGAGCTCATGGTTTTTGAGTGCTACCATCAGCTCTAGCAGTCATCAGCTGACAATTATAAATTCTTCACCTGCCATGCAAGTCTTAATGAATCAAATAAGGCCAAATAAATTCAAAAAGTTCTAAGACTTTACATGTTGCAGAGTTCAACAACTTTGTTTAACCTTCACGAGTTATTTTAATGTCTTTTTTGCATTTGCATATAATCAATCTTAAAGAGCTTCACTCTTTGAACAATGTGCAACATTATTGTCGATTAGCAATTTAGTTTAGCAGTGGTGTAAGTTTTTCTAAGCCTTTCATTCTATAGAAACTGAGAAGGTGTTGTTTGCCCAGCATTTATTTATCAATATTTTTTTTTTCCAGCTGAGCCGCATACTGTATACATGCAGTTTTATGTCTGAATTCATTTCACGATCCAGAGCTGCACGTCACTCTGTTTTTCCTCTGCAGCTCCTGTGCACAGTATTACACAAACACACAGCAAAGTTGAAATGCTATGTAATATTATTCGACAGGATGTGGTGTTATAATCCACAGATGGATGCACTTCGTGAAGGCAGTCCATAAGCTTCTTTGTTAATAATATGTTCCATAACCACCAGTTCCACTCAACACTAGGTACAAGAGTTAGCTAAAGGAAACTATAAATGGGAACTGTATGCCAATATACTATTAATGTAGTAGTAACTGCTTAGTGAAATTAATGAGTAACAGGAAAACATAAGATAAGATGTACAGTAATGTGCAAAGGTCTCTAACAACCAGCTCTTATTTCTTTATATTTTGCTATGAAAATGGGAAGTTATGTCCACTGTTCTTCTAACACAACCTGAGCTCTCTTAGAGAAGCTTTCTTGTCATTTTTTAAGTAGTCTTCAGGAATAATCCCCCAGGCTTCGTGAAGACCAATCAGAGCTCTTCTCTGGGTGTTGGATGCCTTTTTGTTTCATCTAATTTAAGGTGATTGCACCCTGCTTTAATAATGCTGAGATCTAGGCTCTGGACCTTCATAACATATCAAATATGTGGCGTTCTTTAAATTAGCTCTGTTTTATGTCTCTTGGATGACACAAAATTAACAACATATGCAAAATAAAAGAAACTTTGGTGCATTAGATCTATACAGTAAGGAACTTTTAGTCTCGAAAGATAAGATGCTCAGTAATTAAAAAGGAGCTGTTTAATTAAAGATATACAACATCATGAAATATTCACCACTTACACAAAGAACAATTTTCATAAGCAATGGCACAAATGTTAAGTCAGTCAAAGTATGGAAATACATTTTCATGATAAATTTTGGTCAAATTATGTATTTACAGGGATAAACTATTTCACATAGAAACACAGCAGTTCATTTAAAACATATATATTTTAAGGGTGCCGATGTGGAAAGAAAAAGAGAGTTTAGTTGTTATTATAGGGGGAAAAGCATCATGTTTAATATCAAATCAACAACAGCACAGTTTAAAAATAGGTGTTGGCTCTATAACATGGTGGCCACTACACTACAAGAAGCAATAGACAAACACAACCAGCTCTAGCAGACTGGAGATGATAACAGAAGCATTTGCGGGTTTATTAATAATTTAGCAGCCAAACAGAGCTGAGGGCAGTCGCGGAGGGGTGCTCTGAAGCCCTCTAAGCCATCTCCTGGGGCTGAAGAAGAATATGCAAGGTGTTTGAGTGAAGAAGAGCAGTTTTGTGTTTGAATCCACACTGCAACAACAACCACGTAGCGGCATGTAGTTTTCAATAAGCATGGGCAAATTCACATTGAGTCCCCTGTGTAAAATCAAGTGGATGGGTATGCTGAAATGGAGTACAAGCAGGATCATTACTGAATCAACGATGCGTTCAGAATAAGTAAACTTTAGACTGTTATTGAATATCGTTGGGGTTATTGCAATACCCTTGTGAACAAAGGGTACGATGCTAAGCTTGCTTGGCAGAATCCTTCCTGAACAGCTACTAATGAAAACAGAATAGGATGAGAAAAGGTGGTAGTATTTGAAAACAGGTCATCATGCTTGAGCAACGGATGAGGAAACGTTTCACCAACTCCTGGTCTGTATTGTGTGGCAATAGTGCCATCTTTTGGTAGGCTCTGAGGTGAATGATGAATCAGACTTCTTACTTTGAACAAAATGAACACACATGCACCGCAGAGCCTGCAGCAGCTAATCCATAAGCATGTACAGTACAAATGTGAGCTTTCGAGCGTGTTCTGAATGTGTTTGATTTGCAGCCGTCAATATCACTCGTCCCAGATTCAGTGGAAGTGATGAGTTTGGTTACACCTCCTTCGTGGCTTATTCCTCCATCCCGAGCCTCAGTTTCTTCTACGAATTCAAGCTGAAGTTTACGCTTGCAGACAGTTCCTCTGCCGTCAAAGACAACCTCATGCTGTTTGCTGGACGTAAAGGACAAGGTGAGCACAATCCTGACACTTGGATAGCAATTTACATTATCTATGAGCGCCAATGAAAAAACAATTTGAGAAGTTTGCTTTGTTGGTTTTAGTTTCCAAACTGATTCGAGGATTTTGAAAGAAACACTAGTGCAATTTAGTGTCACCTGCTGTGTATGATAATGGCTGTCTAATAGAGTTCCACAAGTCTTTGAGATCCTCCGTTCCCTAAGGATTTTTCTTTCTTATGAGATTTTCAGGAATTAATGAGTTCAACACTTTGTTGATTTCTAAACGCTTGTTGTTTTTTACTTTCAAAAGAAGCATTCCTCGGCTAAAATCAACACGTGAACCGAGCTTCTTAAAATAATTAAACAGCTAATTAAATTAGATGGACTATTAGGTATAAATGTGCACTGTTTTGGGGTCAGCAGCGTCTCCTTTCTGTGGAGCCAGATTTGGAAGCTATGCCTTTGTTCTCAGCATATTTCATTAAAGTAATAATAAAAAAATAATGATGGTAATGAAATAGAAACACTAGATCATGGGTCTTGTGCACTTGTTTCTTTTAAGAGCCATCAAGGTGGAGGCACAAAAAATAAGAGTAATATGAATGATGAAAGACTCAAACAACTGAAGAGCATTCTTGAAATGTTACAAATTCAAAGGTGCAATATATTTTTGAGGCCAAGCAGTAAAACTGCGTAGCCATCAAACACCATCATCTTCTCCTGCCCTTCTTACTTCTTCTTCCAGAACCTTCGGCAGCAGGTTTCATGTCTGCAGCTTGAGCACTTCGTTTGTCACCAGGCAGTTAGAAGTAAATTTATATGCATACGTCTCCAAACATTTCCCCACTTGTCAAAAACTTGCTGCCATTTTGAGGAAGAACAAATCAACTGTGTCAATGAAGAATAGGGGTACTGCAATCATTAAAAATGTGTTTGCCTGTGTCCCTAAATTCTCTGAGAGATCATACCAAAGTTGAAGTCAACCTAAGCTGCGTTGATTAATTGACTTGGCATATGAAATTTTAACAAAATGTTAAACGAGAGTATTTGAAAAGCCAGGCCATCCTTTTTCATATCTTATGGATACACATCTGCATCTGTAACCACCAACAAATGGCCGTCTAGATCATTTTATATAAGGAGTAGTATTAAATAAGTTTGCTTTTTTTTTTGTAGAACTGCTTCCCTGAGCCATTAAACAGAATGAAAGATGAAAGCAATATTGGATATAACAAATGTATCATCCTTTGTCAGTCCGCTATCTGATTAACAGCTTCTTTCACACAGCCATTAACGTCCATTAAAAATCTCAAAATCCAAGTTTTAACAAGCCCGGTTTATATTTTCAAACTTACTACTAAATATCATTAAACAAGATCTGGTTGGCTTGATTAAACTCATCTGTCTTTTATATCATTTCCAACATCAAAGTTTAAATTTTCCTGAAAATATAACGTTTGCAATGATCCCTATTACTGCACCGCTGGGCCTGTTGTTCATTATAGTCAACACTGGAGAAACTACTCCAGCTCTGCCGGACTTCATATTGAAAATACTCTTTTTAAAAATCATTCGACATATTTTATTCATAGATAAATCAGTTAAGACCCACAGCTACTTTAAATTTCTCACCATAAATATCATCCTCGCTGCCTGGTGGAAAGCAGAAACGACACACTTGACCTCAGACTATCTCCGTCTTCTCGTGCAACTATCTGTCATAACCTTACGTTTAAAATCAATGACGAATTTCGCTGCATTGAGAGACGTAAAAAAGCCCGGAGCACCTTTTTATTTGCAGTTCTCTCATGAACCGAGACCCTCTTAGAAAAACATTTAACTTACCCTATAAATCTAATCGCCAGGACAAACAGTGGAATGAGACCACTAAAAAAAATTATGTTCAAGACTTCCACAACTTCATCCTTTTATGTTTACTGAAACTGTGTTCATTTTGACTGCAAGAATTACTTTCCAGACATCTGACTTGAATATAGATCAATCAGAGATAGACTGGCTAACTTTCTGCAACATCCTCCTTATCATACAACTCAAACGTTCAGCTAATCCATTATAGGTCTCACACAGACAACAGATCATCACTCACAAGTTGTACTGAAAGAGCTTCACAGACAACAAAGCCTTTACACATCGTCCCACCTCAATAGAAAACTACTTTATGACTCCACAGCAGCTGGACTCTTTTGTTTGGAGGTCATGGAATAGCTGTTCTTCAGTTCTCGCTCTATTAAGATAAAATTATCCATTTAGGAAAACCATTGTGTTTAGTCAAAGTATGTAAATGTATTAATGAAAGTGGAGCACTTTATTTTGCCTGTGTATTTTGAGTGTACTGTGTTGGAGGGTAACTTTCTTCATATTTTGTAGGCAATGATGGGGACGACTTCCTTGTTTTGGGATTAAAAAGCGGAAGACTTGTACACAGATTCAACCTCGGATCGGGGATAGCAACCATCGTTAGTGATCGACTGAACCATCAGATCAACATCCACACCGTCACGTTTGGAAGGTCTAAGAAAACAGGATGGCTGAAGGTGATTTGAAGATGACTGTGTCCCTTTTGGTAACTGTACATGTCTAGTGTGCTTACTGTATAGAGACATTCAAATTAAATCATGTAACCATTTCAATAAAATAGAGCGTCCCAGCCTAGAGGTACATGATCATTTAGGATCATTTAGTCCCAAGGTAAGTTTGAGGAGCTCACAAGATATTTAAAGAATCAAAACAACACCAAGATACACAAAGTTCTAAATATTTTTCTTTTGAAATACTGATTGCTTCATTCAGTCTTTTGGTCCTTCCAATTAAGAAATTAGAAAAATAAATCGCTTAATGGGACTCTGCTAAAGTCAATTCTATTTCATTCATTTTTAATTTTGTAGATCAGACTTATCTTTATCTGCCGTTTGTACACATTAGGTTTCTCGAACATCTGAATAGATAATGCAAAGAGTATTAAAAGTGGATGCAAAGATTAACTGAGGGATTGAATGTATAATAGACTTACTGGAAGAAGGGATTTACAGTAACTGTGATAAACCACTCAGTGAGCCCTGTTTTTACTGTGCACGTATTCACATAAAAACGTAAGTTTTTATCTTGCCTTGTTTTCATAGTGAGGGCTGATAAACATCAGGGTTTTTTTGTACCGACAGATAATTTTAGTCCAATGATCAGGGTAAGAGTGATTTTTATATATATTTTTGCACCTATCTGAATGCTGTGGGAAAATCCGCATGCTGCAGGATAGATACTATCGAGACGGCGAGGGCTGAGATCCCTGGCGACTTGCCTCAAAGGAGGCGGTTTCAGGGATGTATAGTAGCTGCTCCCTAATAAGTAGACATACGCTGAATCAGTCAGTTATGAATCCCAGGTCACAGATTTTTATTGCAGAGTTAGCAGATTATTATAGAAAGTGTGCTCCCTCACTGACAGTGAGCCGTCTTGAATATTGACATTTCTACTACGTGTGTTTCAGGTTGACGGCCAACGTAACAGGACAGGATTGTCTCCAGGACCTCTGGTGGGCCTCAATGTTTTCAACCAGCTCTTTGTAGGTGGATATAATGAGTACACCCCTGAACTACTGCCACTTGGCTCCAGGTTCCGTCATGGCTTTCAGGGTAAGACTGCTACGGCTTTATTAGAACGCAGCGTTGCTATCTGGAATAAGAGCACTGTGGCTTGGAGTTTCTCCCAGGATCTCTGTCTTTTTGTAAGCAGAGGGGAAGGTGTGTAATGAAAAGGGAGTTACAGGCTCAGACTGTGTATGAGGCCGGAACAAAGCTTTGAGGTTGATTGTATCTGCGCCCTGTAATTGCTTTGCACCCAATACAGTGTGTTGTGTGTAAATCCATTCCTCTGCTGATAAGTCACTTGAACAAGGGTGCTATCCAAATAATCTTTGTCATCATCAACATCATTTATGCTTTCTCTCAGGTGACCTCATGTAGGAATGCTTTTTGCAGAGCATTCATATTGCCTGCTAATGTGCAGAGCTGTGACGCAAAATTGCCATGACCATAACGATGACAACAGCTATGAATATCATCACGACCATATTCAGCAGTCTCTGCACTACAGCAGTGAACCTTGTTATTATAAAATGTCATGGCAGATCCATTTGGGGTGAACAAAAGCTTTTTATTTTTAAGGACTTGAGCGATTTTTTGTGTTTGCCTATTCATCATCATCTGATTCATTTTTCTACTCGGCAAATAAGCCTTCAAAAATCAAATCAGCTGCGATAAAGCATCAGTTTGCCCATGCGGTATTAGGCTATCACAGTTCCCTGTAATGGTAAGCACTACCGGAGACAGGCAACACTGGTGGAACCATAACCTTTCTACTCAGGATGTAATGAGAACTCATGAGAGCCTAATCAGATCTGTGTGACCTTCATCGAGCCCTAATCATGATGGCTGGCAGTGAACACACTGATAATGCACTTCACTCCCAGTTATCAAAAGATCCACACTCCCCTGTGGAAAGAAGGAAGAAGAGGCTGTGTGGGTAAAAAAAAAAAAAAAAATCAGTCATTTTAAGCTGTTGATCAAATATACAGAAATGGGGATGTTTATCGAGCCTGGCGTTTGAAAACTCTGATTTCATACCGCTTTGATGCTGAAATGTTTTTTATTAGATTTCCTAAAAGATTTTGAGCTTAATTACCTTTCATTCTTGGACTTGCAAAGATCAGGGACATTAGAAAATGTTGTTTTAAAATCATTTTCCGGTTTTGTAAATCAAATGTTTCCCGAAAAAAGAACTTTGCCGCACACACGGGAAGGCTCGCTCGACTTCAGACCTCAGCTTTCGAGGTTCTTTTACAAGAAGCGATGCGCGCACAGCTGAAACAAAAATAATTATCTCGCATAATCTTCCTTATGAATCTGCTTCGCTTTTTGATGGTCTGTGTTTGCGGCACCACAACCATCACTCGAGTCTGCCAAGCAGACAGCATCATGCCATGAATATTCATGAATGAGCATGACATTTCCCCTGCATCCTGTTTATGCCAGTGACTAATGCAGCAGAGAGAAGGGAGTCTGCATGTGTAGATGACTACGAGGGCTGTGTTCAGGCCTTATATTTATAGAAGGCCTTGTGCTTTGCAGGTGCAGGCCAAAACAAATATTGTCTTGATAAAACTGAATTATGAAACCAATAAGCAAATACGACGAGAGAGAGAGAGGCGTGATGGCGTGATTTCATGGTGGGAAAACATTGGACTCGAGTCCTTCCAACTCGGGCATCTTGGATGCGAACTGGACAAACTGCAATCTGAGAGTTAACATCTAATAAAGTTTTGTGGGTTTAAGTGTATGTCTCCCAGCGTGAAACCTTCACATGATGAAATAAACACCCATCAAAGAAACTCATTTCAAACCGTGCACGCATTGTCAGACGTGTTTTCGTTTGTGTTGGGCAGATTTTAGTATGCATACCTTTTGATCTCCGTACAAAGACAGTAAAGCGTGTTGCGTTTCATCTTATAATTTCCTATTAGGGAAAGACCGGAGAAGGAAACTGAAGATGAAATGAAATGCACCTCTGACTTGTGCGCAGGTTATCTCACGATGCGTTTGTTCTTTTCAAAGGGTGCATTTTTGATGTGCACTTTCGCACAAGGAGAGACGGAAAGTTCCAAGCGCTGGGACAACCTGCGGGTCATCCAGCCTTTGGGCGCAGCGTGGGTCAGTGTGGCGTCACCCCTTGCGTTCACGTTAAGTGCAGGAACGGCGGGACGTGCGTGGATTCTGGCTCATCTGTGTAGTAAGTGCAAATTAAACTCTACGTGGGCTCATTTTCCAATTGTTTCTAATGAGTCTCCTCATGAATAACGCATGTAGGTGTTATTAATTAGCACAATACAGTAAACAACGCTGTGCTTTATGTATATTTCCATATGCATTGTGACTATGCTTTAGTAACAAACAGAAAACCGGTTTCGCTGTGTGAATGCTGCAGAAGGGGAAGACGGTGTTCACAAGCTTTAACACAGTGTTTGACTGTGCCCGTCTGCAGTTGCCAGTGCCCATTTGGATGGAAGGGAGCGCTCTGTTCCGAGACCGTGTCAGTGTGTGATGTCGAGCACAGCCCCCCTCCTTTGTGCGCCCACGGCTCCACCTGCATCCCTCTGCCGAATGGATATACCTGCCAGTGCCCCCTGGGAACAGCAGGAGTCTACTGTGAGAAAGGTTGCCTCACTGAAGCTGTGACCCTCACCTGCATCTGTTATATTTTTATTATTATTCATATTTTTAAATAAGGCCTTTGCTATTAAATTCTTTAACTGCTAAATTGTTTTTTTCTGTTCAGCTGTGACCATCAGTGATCCATTCTTCAGTGCTAACCTCTCCTCCTGGATGTCATTCCCACCTATGAGTATAAGACACAGGACTGATTTGCAAGTGCAGTTCCAGCCGTTATCACCTGATGGCATCCTCGTCTACATTGCGCAACATCTCAGTGCCAGAGCTGGTGAGGACAATTAATATTTAGGGAAGCTTTGCTTTTATTAACACTGTGTTAATTAATATGATTGCTGTAACATATTAGGCCATTTGCTCTTTTACCCCTCTATGCCCTGCCTCCACAGCACTCATTACACATACCAATTGCTATGTGTAGCTAGTAGTTCATGCCCAATAAAATTAGCATTCAAATTTAAATATGGTAAATATAATTTCAGTGTTAAGTATACTTATTACACATTCTTATTTGTTTTCCTTAAGCCTGACATTAAAAATGTAGAACACGGTGCTTTGGTCCTATTTCTTAAATTATAATGTCAAATCCTCTCGTTGTCGACTGTGTATATCAGTATTCTGCTGAGTGTCATATGATTGACAACAAAATTCAGGCCAACTTAGGTCAAAGTGAAACTTTTTATCTAAATATTGGAGTTATTAATCATGACATAAATGGCATTTTTAAATTCATCAATGAGTTTATTTATGGCAATCAATCCATGCTGCTCTGACAAGTTGGGAGAGAATAAAATAAATATGTCTTTAGTTCAACCACTTACAACCCACAGACATATTCACCTGTGAGAGGGCCTTGAAATATTGAGACACAAAGAGAATGCATCCTTTATTTTTTATATACAGTTAGGTCTATAGGTTTTTTCATCTAATTTCATCATTGTACAGCACCACAGGTGACTTTAAATCATTGACAATGTTATTGAAGTCTCTCTGCCTTCACTTTTGTCTGCAGTAACTGAAAAGCATGCTTTATTGGACTGAGATCAGGTGAAGAATATTCCATTTCTTTGGCTTCAGAAACTCTTTGGTTGCTTTTGCTGCGCGATTTGGCTCATTATCCATTTGTGAAGCAGATCAGTTTCCAGCATCTGACTGAATCTGAGCAGAGAGCGTAGCCTGGTGCACTCCAGAATTCATCCCGCTACTTCTATCAGCAGTCACGTCATTAATAAACACTAGTGATGCCCGCAGCCATACGTGCCCATGCCATCGTGTTTGACAGATAATGTGATGTGCTTCAGATCATGAGGTGCGCCTTTTCCTCTCCATGGTTTTCTGTTGCCTATCATGTTGGTACAAGTTAAGCTTGGTTTCATCTGCCCAAAGAATTTTTGGGGGGGCTGCGCAGGCTCTTGTAGATGTTTTCTGGCAAAGTCTTATCTGGCTTTCCAGTTCTGGCTTTCAGTGGTTTGCACTTTGTTCTAAATTCTCTTCCTTTTGATTCGTGAAGGCGTCTCTTGATTGCAGATCTTGATCATTTTAAGCCTGCTTTCTCAGGAGTGTTCTCGACTTGGTTCGATATTGTGAAGGTATTTTTCTCAACCATTCACTTTAGTGCATTTGCTCTTTTAGTAATATAGTAATAATACATCAAAATTTGATGAATTTGAGATTTGATTTGGCCACAAGCTTTTGCTGTTTCTCTGGTGGGTTTATTTCTCCTTCTCCTTCCATTAACATCTCTTGGGATCTTCTGTTCAGTTCCAAAGAAAAGCCACCAAATAAAGTTTCAAAATCTTGAATCGACTCCAGATCTTTTATGTATTTGTCACAGAACAATAATTTTGTCCAATTACTTTTCAAAATAAAACTGAAATTCTGAAAATAGAGGGCACCTTTGAATTAAAGCTGAACCTTTGTATTTCAATTTAGAATACACTGCGGTGTAGAGAAAAAAATACTACAAAAATAAAATTTTAAAAAGTCACTGGTCAAGAAATTGTGGGCCTAACTGCATCTGTGTCTAATGTTTAGTTTTTAAAAAATCAATAATAATGCCCTTAGTTAAAATATTAATACTAATCTTTACCACGGTAAAAGTAGAAGAAATTACTTTTTTCAAACAAGTTACTCATAAATTGTTTTTTCCACAGGAGACTTCTTCTGCCTCTCACTGGCATCTGGGTTTGTCCAGCTGCGATACAATCTTGGGGACGGCACCCACATCCTGCAGTCCTCTGAACAAGTGGACTTAAGCGGCAGGACCTGGCTCACGGTTAAGGCTGGCCGAACTGGTAACCGAGGCTTCCTCAGTCTGGATAACAAGGAAGTTAGAGAAAATGTGACTGAAGGCATGGCCACACTCGATGTTGCTACTGACGTCTTCGTCGGAGGCGTGTCGACTCTGAGCTTTGTCTCCACGGATGCAACTGAAGGGGATCCTGTGAGCTTCACTGGTGGCCTGCGAGAGTTAACACTCAATGATCGAGAGTTTGAGTTAACAGAGAGGGGAGCTTTAAGTGGGGCCAACATAGGTGACTGGGATGGGACAGCCTGCGGGTACAAGGTGTGCAAAAATGGAGGTCACTGCAGGGCAACAAGTAGTGACTCTTTCACTTGTGTATGTCCACCATTATGGACCGGTTCTGTGTGTAACCAGTCTGTGAGCTGTGTAAACAACGTCTGCAAACATGGTTCCTTATGCGTGGCATCTAGTGTCACCTCGTATCACTGCATTTGCCCCTTAGGGTGGACCGGGAGGTACTGTGTCAAGGAAATGTCCACAGGCACTCTGAAGTTTGTTGGAAACTCTTTTGTTAAATACTGGGACTCTAAATACAACACAAGAAACTTAAAATACACACAGGTTTCTTTCAGCTTTCTCACAGTCTCCAATGACAGTCTGATCATGTGGATGGGAAAGGCTGAACACGAAGATGATGACCACCTTGTAGTTGGACTTGAAGGGGGCTATCTTAAAATAACAGTCAATCTTGGAGAAAGACTTTCCTTCCCATTGGTTTTCAGAAATCTCACTCTCTGCTGTAACAAATGGCACAATGTCTCTATATCTCTAAATAGCACTGTTATTCAAGTGTTACTGAACAGCCAGGAGATCCTCTCTGAAAATGTAGATCCATTTGAGCGATATGTAGCCTTAAACTACGGGGGGCAGTTTTACTTTGGAGGGTTTGAACTGTACAGAAACATATCAGTTGTAACCTTGGGAATGTTTTCAAATGGCTTTGCGGGGAATCTTAGAAATGTCTGTTTGTTTGGAGATACCAAGCAAGGGCTGTTTCTTAAAAAAAGTGAAGGTTTTAATATCTTTGATGGAAACGAGTAAGTGAAACTGCAAGTTCTGGTCTTTACAACAGTAGGAAATGTACCATTTAAGGTAGTTGATATTGTTTTCTCTAGTATTTAGTCATGTGAAAATCCAAGTGCACTTTTACCGTCTTCATGTTCTTCATACAGACCAAGGTGGAGATTTTTGGCTGTAATGCACAGTAGCACATTTGCTGAAAACCAAACAGCATATCAACACAGATGACTCCAACCGTCAAGCACAGTGGTGGAGGGCTGACGACTGGGACTTGGACATCTAATCAGAGTCGTTCATGAACTCCTCTATACACTTAACTAAAGATTGTCCAAAATTGTGTCATGCAACAGGACAATGATCCCAAGTGCAGCAGCAAATCTACAACAGAATCAATCACCTCAACCTGACTGAAATGTTGTGGTGGAAACTTAAGAGCTGTGCAAAAACAAATACCCTCAAAACTCAAAGAGATGAAGGAATGCTGTAAAGGGTGGGCCATAATTCTTTCATACTGATGTGAGATACTGATAGTCATACAGAGTAGTTATTTAAAGTTACTTCAAGACTGCTGCTAACGGTGGTCCTCCAAGTACTGAATCGTGGAGTGCACTTAGTTTTTCACAGGACTGCATACAGGTTTTTTTTTTTAAAGCAATTGAATTGTACTACTTGTTTCTTCAACACTTTACATACCAGTTCTGAGTTGCACTTAAAACTCAGTTTGATGAAACATATACATTTAAACTGTTAAAGGACAAATTAAACTCTGATTCCTTGGCTGACTTTTCTGATTTACATCACTTTCCAAACAAAAGGTAAAACTTAACATGACACCCATCTACCCATCTTGTTAATCCATTTTCTTTTGCTTAAGAGCTAACAAAAAGAAACATCGATGCACTAACCCTGCAAACTGCATGTCTTTGGACTGTGGGAGGAAGCCGAAGTACCCAGAGAGAACCCACTCACACAATGGGAGAACATGCAAACTCTACATAGGGGTTCCCCGTCAAGATGATGGATTCAAACCAAGGACCTTCTTGCTGCAAGGTCACAATGCTAACATCTAGTTCCACCACATACAGACCACTTTGATTTTGAAGGGACCAGATGAGTGAATCTCTCCTTTCTGTCAGTGTAAAGATGTTTACCTACACATTAAACCCCTGAGATATCTTAATATAAAAAGTACAATTTCAACAGCACGTCTCACTTTTTCTATATGTTAACATGAAAATATGGAAACCATTCTGGTAGCTCAATGTTTTTGTTAATTCACAGAAAATATTAGTTTACCAAAATTTCTATAGATTGGTGAAAAAGAGGCACATTCCTATCATTTGTTTCTTTATTACTTCGTTCCTTTAACAAGAATGGCCACGGGGGAGGTCTTTATCAATAGGAAAAGCTGTAAAACGTAGTTATAAAAATACACTTTACTCAAAAACACATGCCCTCCTTCACTTTTCCCAATCATCCAGTGGGCCAGATCGGAGTCTTTGCTGGGCCGATTCTCCCCCCCAGGCCTCATTTCTAACACCTCTGACCTAGTTGGTTTTAATACATTTTTTAGACAAAGAATTTCTTTAAATAATTAACAATAAAAAAAGGTTCAGCTTTATTACGAACTGTACAATAACACAGTGCAAAGGCACACTTCATCTCTAATGTATATTACAAGCCAACATTGTACATGCTTTCTCAATAGAAAGCAGGTTTATAAAATATTTAAGCAATTTAAAAGAAATGTTAAAAAAACAAACTCAAGCTGCTGTTTTCAGTTAAATACCATCTATTACATTCAGGCCAAATGAACTCAGCATAAATTATCCAAGTGGTCCACTTGTTTGTTGTTATGTTGCCTTGAGACCGAAACCAATCAGTACAGCAGCTCAATATGAACAACATATTTACAGTAAAAAGTTTAAAAGTTAAAAATGTTCCAATATTGACTTTTTCTTTTCTTGGTCTTAACTGAACTGATCCATAATATCATAATTCCATTGAAATTATATTATTTTGGCTTGTACGCTGAGTAACATAAAACGTAACTTTAGTGAAAGACACGGCATACAGATGCAGACTGGTGCGTAAAACAACTCCACCAGCACCAACCAAAGTGGTTTGTACCAGCTGTGTGACCAACAACAACCGAACAGTCCTCCTGAGAGCCCCAAACGCTCTCTGAACAAAATTATGAGTAACTGTCTTTTGAACTTCTCCGTCCATTCTCGTAATCAGAGTCCCGTCTATGTCTGTGCCTGTCCTTGTGACGGCTGCTGTAGTCGTCGCTGTGATGCCTCTCTTTCCTCTTCTCAGCATAGCGGTCATCCGAATGTCCGTGGTGCCTGCCCCTCTCCTTGTACTTATCATCATAGCTGCGATCATGCTTTTTCTCCCGCTCGTGGTGCCTGCTCTTTTTACCGTGATAGGAGTCCCTGTGGTAGCTGTGCCTTCCGTGGTCTTTGTCTTCTGTGTGTCGCGGCCTCTCCCACGGGTCACTGTATCGCTCCTCTAAACGCTTGTAGTCTTTGTCCACGGATGAGGGTTGGCCAGATGGTTCAGAGCAACTCTCGGGGTACTGTGACTGAGGTCCAGGGGGAGCCTGTGAAGTGCTGTCTTGAGCCCACTGCATGCTATGGTTCTGGTTCTGGATGTGAGGGGTGGGTACAGTATTAGAAGTAGGGGCAGATGGAGAATCATAGCTGCCAGATTCCTGAGGCTGTTGCTGCTGCAACGGGGACGGTCTTGTGCTGTTGTTTACTGGGAGAGCTGGTGCCATTGCTGGGTTATACTGGGACTGAGAGGCTCCTGTTTGACACTCTGCTGGAGTTCCTTGGACCGTAGGAGGATTCACTGTCTGAGTCAATACAGCACCAGCCTGCGCTACACCAGGCTCATTCTTTTTACAAGGAAACGACTGAACGGCTGTTTGACTTTGTTCTTCAGCTTTGTGCTTGGCCTGAGAGAGCTGTAAATATCCTTGGTGAAATGGGACGATTAGATCATTCCTAGTGCTGCTCAACACAGGAACAGGTTTAGGGCTGGAAGGATCTGGGAGGCTGGCTTTATCCTTCTGTGACACCATTGTTTTATCTTCATTCACAGTGGAATATGCTGAAGATTTTTTCAATATTCCACTTAAAGGAGGCTTTGAGCTACTTGCGTGATCTGCAGCAGACTGGGATTTTGGCTGCAACAAAGAATTCCCTTCAGTTGTTTCTTTTTCACTTTCAGACAAAAGGCCAGTGTCGCCTTTGTTTGCCGACGTAGCACTGCTAGTTTCAGTCCCGCTTGGAGCTGCTGACAGGCCTGCCAGGAAGTCTTCAGTCGATACATCTGGAGGCTTATCTTTGAGTGAGACAGATGTACCCTGGCTCCCTACTGCAGCTTTCTTTTCCAGCAAGTTGGTAGCAGCTGATGTATCAGATGGGCTTGATAGCTCCGGTTCAGTTTTAGCAGGTTTAGCTTCTTTCTTCTTGATGACAAAGCGCTCTCGTGGGGCAGCAGCTGTTGGACTTTTTGAGCTCCCAACTGATGTCTCCGGTTTTGGAGCAGGCTGAGTCTTCAAGGCATCCTGTGCTGTACTTGAGGGTTTAAACCCAACATCAGGCAGAGGTGGTAATTCTCCACCCCAGCCTACTAGCACACCTGGAAGAAAGCGAAGGGGTTTCTGAGGCTCCTGATTGTTGGTCTCCTCTGATGCAGATGTTTCTTCAAAAGACTGTGCAATAGGCTCATCGACATCTTCAGTAGTGTTAAGTGGTTTTTCCTTCTCCTTTTGAAGTGCACTAGTCAAGGAAGAGAGAAAAAATTTCTCATCCTCCTCTTTTGCCCTGGTTTCTTTTGTGGAAATGGCCACAGGTTTTATTTCAGGAATAATCCTTGCAGATTCGTTCACATCCACAGTAAGAAAATCCCTTTTCGGTCTCTGGCGAATAATAAGTCCAAGGAGGAGGTTTCCACGGTTGTTTTCTAAACCTGAGAAATTAAAAGATTAAGTTTGAACATTTAAAAAAAAAAATTTTTTTTAATTTAATGAGAGAAAAATAATTGTGTTCCGGTTACCTGGCCCATCAAAGGGAACAAGCTGATGTGGAACTTTTTCTGTGGCACCTAAAGGGATGAGGTACATGTCCTTCACTTGTTTCAAATTATTGGACACCACCCCAAAACGCCTACGACTGCTGAAGTAGGCATACAAAAGAGTATAAGAGATCTCATCTTCCTCTGTCTCAGGGGAGAAGCGAATCAGGCACACTTCCTTTAATAAAACAAAAAGCATGTGTCAGTAAAATCTGTAACTCTGTTAAAAATCAAAACTTTTAAAGAGTGGTATTCAGTTCGACTTACTCAATATCAGGAATAATTAAAGCCAATTTATTTCTGTCAAATCATAAGCAAATCTCGGAAAACAAGAGAAACTTACTTTTGTTCCAGTTGCCCGAATTTTCTCCAAGTAGTCCCACACCGTCTGAGGACTAATCCTCCCACCAACCTGTATGCTATCTGGAAGGTCCTATTGGAGAAAAAACATGTTTTTAAATGAATAAATAAAAAGAGCACACCTTATGGAGTGTTAGAGATACAAAGTAGTTGGCAGTATTTGATCACTCATAAATCTGTAGTTACGTGGGAGTAATGTTACAAATCTAGTTCTTCCAGCTGGACTGTGGTTTATATTTCCTGTGTCCTAATAAACTGTTCTACAACAACAAGTGTCAGCACATTTCTGCAATGTTTTGTTTTAGTTTTTTAGTACATAAATACTCATGTCTGACTGCCATTTTCTCCCTGTATCTGTGCTAAAAGCAATCTTTATCCCACTGCCATTCATCAGAACTGGCTCTTGCCTGGCTGTTGCTTAAACAACTGTGTCAAAGAATACTAATATTCAGGGTTCATACGCATTTTTCAGGGTCAAATTCAAGCACTTTTTAAGCACTTTCAAGGTCAGTTTTCAAGCTTTTTCAGCACATTACCAAAAAAAAAAAAAGAATGCATGTTTCACTTAGCATCACCTCAATAAGGCCATGTAAAAATTAAAACAAATTGAAACAGACTGACATGCAAAGATGCTCGGCAGCCCAGGCAGAGAAATTTTGCTTTTAGACTTTGCGACTCATTTTATTTTTCTATCTGATAAGAAAATTATTTGGTCAGATAGTTATTTGTGTTGAATGAAATA